TTAAAATACTGAAAGAATGTTGAACAGAGCAATTTGGATATGAATTTCTTCATCTTCACCTACTCCATAGATCCCATCCACTCGAGATCACCTCACCAAAATTGTCTTGCCAAAAGTACCAAAAACGAACCATCAGCAACCTAAAAATCGACCAGTACCACTTCCCTAGCATAGAGCATAACCAACCTTTTGTGCTTCTCTCCTCTCTCTCCCCCGACTTGTCATTAAACGATCAAAACAACATCTTCTCCGGCTTGCAAACGTTGTGCTAAATAATCATCCTTCCCCGACGGGAAGGTCACTTGCCGAAAAATTTGTATGTTGTTATTTATTTCTTTTCTTTTCTTTTGACTCCCACCATTTCATTTGAGAGAAATTGAGTGATGAGAAGAAGATGGAGAAAGAGAGTCATGAGATCAGGAACATAAACTGAATTTTATTCTTCAAACCCGACTTAACCCAATTCTATATTTTCTATTCAAATTCAGATAAAGTTTGTATTTTGAAAAGAATTAAAGAGTTGGATGCTATTTTGTAACAAAAAATTATTTTAAAATTAAATTATAATTTTGATCAAAATTCATAATTAAATTAAAAACTTAATGTTTTGCATGAGTAATATTGCATCTAACTAAAAAAAGTAATATGTATTTTGTAACGCCCAATAATTTTTGAATTTTATTATTATTTTTATTAATTTTATTTTCATTTATTTTATTTATTTAGTTTAAATTATAATTAAAAATAATAATAATAATAATAATAATAACAATAATTGTAAAATTGGGTAAAAATATTTTTTGGATTTAATTGAAATTGATTTTGGAAAAAATGGGTGGAAATTAGGATTCTGGGGGTATTTTTGAAAAGAAAATCAGAAACTGGGGGTCAAAACGCAATTTAAAAAAATTGTGCCCCATTAGCGCCACGTCAGTAGCCACGTCAGCGGCCCAGTCAGCAGCCCTGGCCAACCAGGACCTGCCGCGTGGCAAGACCACGTCGACCCGGGAACGGGCCATGTGGGCGATCCGCGTGCGCGCGATCGGACGGCCCAGATGCGTCCCCGCGGGCACGGACGACCCAGATCAAGCGTGCGCACGGACGGCCCAGATGCACGCGCACGGACGGTCCAGATTCAATCAAGAACGGACGACCCAGATTTAATCAAAATGGACGGTTGTGATCAAAAGGCAAAAGGGTATAAATAAAACTCTCACACCTGACCACAAAAACCTTAGCCGCCTGCCCTCGCCGGAGAAGACGAACCAGACGCTGGAGGAGCCGGCCGCCGCCACCCGCCGCCGCACCGGGGAGTTTTTCGACCGCCGATCGAGGTAAATTTCATACCCCCGACTCGTTTTTCCACGCTGAGTTCCCCTGTGGCCAAATCGGAGCCAAAATCCCGGCCAAATAGCCGGAAAACACGGCCGAAACCCAGCTGCGCCGCCGCGCCCCTCCTCGGTTTTTGCCTCCGATGAGGCCCTTCCCGGCCTCTGTTTGATACAATTTTTATATCACCGTGATCACCATTCTTTTCTCTACAGGTTGATCGGAGCCAAATCACCAAAACACGAACCTCGCCGGAGAGCCGCCGCACCCGAGAGCACCGCCGCCGGTAAGCTTCGGTTTTTCGTAATTTTTTGGCCCCCCGAGGGCCCTAGGGTTGTTATCGTAGGGACCGATGCAAGTGTGGCCGAATTCGGCCGAAAACGGCCAACCTGAGGCGAAACGCCGCCAGTCTAATTTGAGATTTTTTAGGACACGTGCAGGTACCAGTAGTGCGTTTCAGTTCCCCGGGAAAGAATTCGGAAAAATTAGGGACAGCCTGTAGGCTCACTGTAGAGCCGTATTCGGACCCCGAAATAAGTAAGCACCTCTCACCATATTTCCTATCACGGTATTAAAGTTCAATAAATGATAAAACGGTATTTCATGAATCAATAGATGTGTGAAATTGTTTAAGGTCGCTAATGGAGTCCGAGTCTGGTGTGTTTGTCGGTCAGCTGTTGTTTGGCCTATTTTACAGTTTTAAATGCAGTATGAGGTCTGATATTTTCATTTCATAGTTTCGTGTGCATATGTCACTGTTTTATTGATTATGGGTTGAATGACTGAGAACCCGATGTTGTATGTTGTCTTGTTTGGCATGAATTACTGGTTGCTTGTTTGTGTGTGATTTGATGATGTTGACTAAGGAAAAGGGGAATGAAATGTTATGTAAATTGATAATTGTATAATGTGGTCAGCCTGACTTGATATCTTGGGAGATGATGGACGGACCGGGTCCGTAAGGAACTCTACTGGGATTGTGGTCTCTCATACCGGACGGGGTATGGAGACCTTATGTATTTTGGCGTCCATACCGGATGGGGTATGAGGACGGCCCGTTTCACCCTCATACCGGACGGGGTATTGAGATTTATAGTTTTGGCGCACATACCGGACGGGGTATGGGGACGGACCTGGAATCTGATTACAAGTGTTAAAGGTTCACGGGTAGCGGGACCCCTATGGATCCCCATGGATACTAGTAGGCTGGTAAATGATGAAAAATATGTTGTGTAATGATTGAATTACAAAGGTGTGATAAGTATTATGTTATACAGCTCATATGATTTCATGATAATGATAATATTACTGCTTTCGTATATTGTTTTATGAATTTCACCGAGGTAAGTGGATAGTAAAGGTTTTTATGTTAATAAACGAGTTTATTGTAAATTTGCTCTATTGGTCTTTTTGTGTTTTCTACCCATCTTTATCCCGTGACGGTGAGATAGTGTGATGTCTTTACTGGGCTGGTGTAGCTCATTCCTTATTTAATCATTTCAGATCAGGAGGACATTGTTTCCGAGCCCGTTCCGCAGGAAGACGGCGAATGGGACGCCTGAAGACTCCGTAGTCATATTTATAGCTTTTATTTTCGAGTTTCTCTTTTAGTTAGTTTGTTCTTTTATACTTGAGCACGTTTTTGGTTTAGTGTAAGAGATGTTTAATCAAAATTTTTATCCGCTTCCGCATTGACCTTTTTAATACACATATTTCATTTCAAAATTTCGGGGTCGTTACATATTTCTACGTCTTGAATGTATTATTATTTTATAAAATAAGTCAAACTTTATATAAAAATATTAAATTTTTGCTTGGTTTCATAGTTAAATTTTATAATTGGTACTATCTAATGAGTGATTCTAATTGTATGAATATTTGAGTAAAGATTTTAGAGTTTCATGTTCGTGTAAGGTCTTTATCCCACCTTATTATACAAAATTATTACATTCCTAAATTTTACTATATCAAAAAGTGAACTAGTACTTTTCATAAATAAATAATATAATTTTTATTAAAATTTATCTAATTTTGGAACTAAATTTTATAATTCTTACTACCTAATAAGTGGTTTCAGCGAATAGAGGTGTTATAAGTTCAATATTCATTTTTAACTACCTAGATATGGTCCAGTTTGTTCCAAAAGAGGGTAGTTATATACACACTTTGTGGGTGTGTGTATTTGTTACGTCTCCTACCTGATGAAGGATGATGATTATTAATCAAAGCTTAATTTTGGAACCAGTTGCATCACATACTTCGCGAGAATTTTCTGTCTCGCTTGTCTCACTTCCATATTTATTGCGTTTGTGAACTAAATATTGGATCACTTATGTGAGACTGATATTAACATGTTCTCCATTTTTTCATTTCATTTATATATACAATTAATGGTGTTTGTGTAGTAAAACAATGTTTAAATACAATCACAAATAGAGCCATAAACAGACTACTAGCCTTAACTATCACTCAGATTCTATGAGACTTTTTTTCCCATTTAAATACACCACAACTTTCCAAAGTTTTATGCAATAAAAAACGTGAATCTAATGACTTCTTTCCAAGCGTATTTGCAAAAAACAGTAAAAGAGTCTGGCAAGCATGAAGTTCATCAATCTTCTGTAGATCAGAGAGTTCCGACGAAAGATCTTTCCACGGCTGGTAAAATGACCTGTAACGAAGAACAAAGCTGAAAATTTAAATATAGAATATGTGATACGATAGGGAGTTGAAAAAATCCACATTTCAAAGTGAGTAGAAAATCTAACATATGCAAGTTTGCCAAAACTTCCAATAATGCTGATTTGTTACCAAAATGGCTCATGTATTCTTATGGAATGTTCATTCGATGTAAATATAAATAAAAACCTAGCTCTTTCAGCAAAAGAAACTAAAGAGAAAAAAAAACTTAAAAGTGACAAGGAGATTATTGAGCCATCTGTCTTAAATCTGTTTCTCCAATTCCAGCATCCATTTCTTTATTAAGTTTTAATTTACTTACAACACCAATATTTTCATATCTTACCATCTCCAAGAAGGATTAACCTCAGGAGGGCACTGTATCCTCAACAATAGTGACACCATGGCAGGCTTATCTCCTACAATGAAATCAGATTCTAATTTAGCACAAGTCAGAATATTAAAGGCAAATCTGCTAAAGAACATCAAACCAGTAACAGATCCATTTTCGAGATAGAAAAAACCACCGAAAAATATTAATTCTATTAGTCCAACAGTTAAGACAAAAACATAAAATCTAAGGTGTAAACTTACAATAATGCAGATCAAATCAACTATGCTATCTAAATATAGGCCAAAGAAGTCTTACACTGAAAAATAAAGGCCCTGAAAACATAATAATGATCTCTTCAGATTCAAAGATTACCATGATTTCTTCTCTAGGTAATCTGTCTTTTCTGCAGTCTGTATTTCTATTGTAGCCCATTCAAATGCAACCTAAGTATACTCAAATGAAGCAGCTAATGGCCTCATTTCAGATTACCAAATGGTATTTTAGTCAACTTTTTCGTCTTGCTTGGATTTTGACACCAAATTGATCTAACTCATAGCAAAGTTACAGGAATTTTAAAATCCTGGTCTACCACATAGAAATCCTGTTTGGAAAATTTTAGAAGTCTTCTACAAGATTATTACAGCACCAAAATATAAGGATTAATTCATTCCAGAAACAATTTTTATTCATTTGGCTGCTCAAACAAGGATATGAAACAAGTTATCAATTAACTCAGATGGCAGACCTGCAAATATGGAGGCATCACAAGACAGCAAGAGGGAAAGTGCAGAAACAGAAGAAGAGAGCACTCCACTGTTCATCCCAAGAAGCTGTTGGACATAAAAGATTTGAGAAGCTAATAGTTCTCTGGAATCAGATCTTCTGCGGCTCACTTGACATTCTCTTTGAACATATTCCAACAAACCATGCAGATTGTCCACGTTTGACTTTCTTGAAAAGCAAGGGCTCAATTCAACACCTTTAAAAGAAAGCTCACCAAGAATTACAGCAGCTACAAGCCAGCGTAAAAATTTTAATACCAAACTCTCATCAGATGGAACTTCCTCCAAGACTCTCTTGAAATTTAGACTGAATTCTCTTTGAAGAGACATTTGTCTAGAGTCAGATATCATAGCAACAGAGGTTCCCCACGTAAGAAAACTTGAAAGCATTTCTTTATCCTGTAAAACCATGAGGAAAAAAGTGATAAGGAAAAAAATGATGACACTACATTAAAGAGGAATTCATCAGCAGCACACAATAGAAATCGTAACGAGAAGAGAGAGTAAATCAAAACTAAAACGCCAGTTCATTTCGTCCAGTTTTAAGAACCCATGCATATTTCTAAACCCCCAACGAAATATGATTGTTGGTTTTTTCTTTCCAATTTTGTTTAGGAAGAGGAAGAATTTGCAGCCATGTCAAATTTGAGAAATCAGGAAAAATTTGAGAATCAGAAGAGAGAGGGGGCAAAGATACCATGTGGAGAATATCACTGGGAGGTGTGCTCATAAGTAACACTTTAAGTCCAAGCTCCGCATTTACAATGGATCTTGATGGATCATGTGCAGTAACAGCCCGATAAATTTTAACTACACCCTCAAGTGATAAGGTAAAATGTGGCTGGTATATTTTCCTCTTCTGGGATATCTTTAGAGTTGTTAACAATATCTGCAAAATTGAATGAACAAGTGCAACATTTTCCTTTATCAACATCCACCCACCAACTAAGAGTCCGTACAGATGCGACGAAATTTCCATTAGCTGTTCAAGGGCATATCTCTGCAACCACTCAACAATGTTTCTGAATGAGAGGACATCATTGACAACCTAATTCAAATTGCATAAAAATGTTAGAATAGCATATGAGGTATCCAGGGAACAAATGTGTGCTCAAACTCATAAAATTAAGAAAGGAAGTGCAATTAGACACTTCATGAATATAATGACAAAAGAAGAACTGATTACATAAAATGATAAAAAGTACTTTCACTGAATAGCATATGAGGTATTCAGAGAACATACGTGCCTTCAAGCTCATAAAATCAAGAAAGAAAGTGTAGCCATCCACTCATAGACATATATCACTAGTATGATGACAAAAAAAGGACTTATTACATAAAATGATACAAAAATACTATCAATGGATAACTACCTCTGTGACCAGAACGAGTTGTGTCAAGGAAAACTGGTTTTCACCAAAAAGTAGTGTCCCACTAACAAGTGAAAGAACAGATGATAACCATGAGAGTAGACCAGAGTGTTCAACTAGGTAATGAGCCATTTTATGCAATTTAACTGACTTCTTCACTATCTGCAAAACAAGACAAGACCAAAATTTGAAGTAAACATGAGGTAAGCTTAATACTCATTAAATCTAATGTGTTGAGCATGCAGGATTCACATTTTGAAAAGCCAAAAACCCTGAACTTCACCCCATTAAAATAAGTTACAAAACCAATTGTCAGTCTTCACATTTGCAAAGATGATATGTAAACCGACACCCAGGTCAAAAATTGTCTGGACTTGAAAAAAGAAAAGGGATTAACGCTTTATGCTCAGTAATTGCTATTCAACATAGTTCCACTCTCAGCATAGATCTTATCCAATATTTGGTTACTAAACAAAATCCAGTTCAATTCCAGTTACAGATAAAACTTTAACCACTTGCGAGGTTCTATATGTGCAGGACCCACAGCAGGAAGAGGAAGACTCCTGACCTACAATAGCGTGAGTCCTTCCAATTTTGCAGATTTCTAGTGGTCTTGTATTGGGATTCTCCTGTGACAGGACAAACATGAGTTATTAATAGGGAAATTGAAATTACCTGAAGAATTAGTTCCTTTGATTCAATGTCTGCCAGAGAAGAAGAATAAAAACTCAGGAGAGTCTCAATAATGGAGTTCCTGATATATATCTGAGCATCGTCATCTATATTTAGCCCTGCATAAGCTAGGCGAAGTATCCAAAGCTTTTCTTTTTTGAAATTCACAGAGGTACTCCAGAAAAAGTTCCGAAACAATGGTATGACCTGAAAATAGAAACCAGACAAGTATTTATCGAGAAACTGGGAGAAAACAGAAACAAACAATGCATAAGCATAAAGACGGATTGTAAAACAACCAAATGTAAGCTACAAATCTTTCTGGTCATCAAACATGTATGATGTACCTTCAAATTCACCCTAGAAGAATGCATCAAAACCTTTGTTAAGGTTGGGTAATGATCATGTGAAGGATCCATCAATATGAGAGATGCCTCGGCAGCAAACAGAGCAATAACAGAAGGGATTCTCTGCCATGGTTCTTCTATTCCATTTTGCAGATATGTCAATAGAAGCTGAAGTCGTGTTGCATCTTTATTCTTTGAGCATTTCTGCAAATAAACAGTTCGAATCTGGGTAACAAACAGCTTATTGCAAAATTTCAGCACCAAAAAAATTTAACTACAGTTGAAAGATGATTAGTCAATAAAAACAAATGCTTATGATCGAGAACTCAGCATCACATTTAGACATTCGTGCTCAAAATCCTGAGGAATCTGCTTCCTGCATGAATCAACTACATCTGCTTCCCGAATGAATCAACTACTGAAAATCTTAACTTCCTTCTCTTATGAGTTCCCTGAACTATGGAAAAAGTGGAGCTGAAGAGATGCACACAATATCCAGCTGAACAGTGTGACATGAAGAAACCAAAACATTTTTCAGCTGAGAAGGGGAAAACTAACAACAGCAAAATCTCGCTTTCTAATATACTAACTTGCTGTTGGTATACTCGCAATTTAGCATATGTCTATCATTCACGAAACAGCTCCAGTATCTTCTGTTGGTCAACTTGTTTAAGCTCAGTATTCACCTTCCACCAGGTGTCAATGATGGCATGAAAGGCCATTTGAGACCATAGTTTCACCATTAAGTCAACTGCTTTTGGTAATTAAAAGCTCTAGCTCTCTAAAACCAACATCCACATAGAAAAAGACAAATGCATAGCATAGAATGAAAATTTCATCAAAATGCTAGATGACACTGTCACATACATGCATACAGATTCACAAACCTGCACATGCATGCATACTTACAAACCCAACACATGCAGACAAGTATGAACATGCATGAATAGACAAACAGCTATATTCACATGCATGACTAATTAAGAAAAAAAGAAAAGCATTACCTCCAGAGAATTGCTAAATCTCCCAAGAGTTTCATAGCTCAGTTTTCTCATCCCAACATCAGGTGAAGACATGCCAACAAAAGCTACTGCAAGCAAGCCTAAACCAGCAAATTCTACAGGTTCAATATAGCCTGCAGACAGACTATGAACTGAGAAACGCAAGATAAAAACTGGATCATATCGTTTTATTTTTCCAAGATCAGGAGAATCCATCTGCATAAAATAAAAAGTATATATTAAGAGCTGTCAACATGGAAAGCACAGACCAAAAGAAAGCTTGTAGCTCATAAAATAAAGATTTCGTTTATATACTTCATGGACATCTTTAAGATCATCTAATTG